AAGACCGCAAATAAAAAAAAAACCAGCCAATGCTTCACCTGCCAAATACGGCAGGCAAAGCCGGGCGATGAAACCATGCATAACAGCACCTGGCACATCAACCGGCTCTGCATTTGCCCAACAAGCAGACCCACACATCCGGCACTTGATCATGGCGCATCACAGTCATAACCTACTGAACTTCTTGAACGAGGATCGAACTCGGCAGAGGTTCTGCGACGTGTCCGTGTCCGTGGGTGGGAAGCTGTACGGCGCCCATAAAGTGGTATTGGCCCACGGGAGCAGTTACTTCCACGCCGAGCTGTGCAAGAACCCCGCCATGACCCACGTGACTCTGGATCACGTGGAGGACTCCGTTTTCCAGCATCTGCTTGCCTTGCTGTACACGTCGGAGTGCGTGATTGCCGAGACAGAGCTCCAGGCTGTCACTGAAGCGGCCCGCTTCCTGGACATGATGGATGTGTTAAAGCTGGTGTGTGAGGAAGGGCCTAACAACAACACCGTCAGTGGGGATGAGACAAAATCACTAATAGCCACCCAAGCATCGTTTGATCAGCAGATATGCAATGAAAACTCACCACAGGACCAGAGTCTGAATGACGGTCAGGCACAAACTCCAAGTAAAAGCCAGAGGTGTGGCGATACGGCGGCCACCATGCGGAGATCTGCTCGAAGGAGGAAACCTCCGGCCAAGTATCAGAAAGACGATATGGAGTGCTTGAACAACGCCGAGGAAACACGAGTGACTCCGTCACCGAGGGAGCAGGTCGAAGAAAGATGGAACGAGGAAGAAGCCGCAGAATCCAAACTGGTGGTGGATGAAACAAGATCATCACACGTGGAAGATTTTTTGGGTGAGGAGGATGAAGAAGGCAAGATTGAGGAGGGCGGCAAGGCACCAGCCCCAGGTCCCGTATATCCCGAAGGTCTGGCTCCTGTCATCATCCACATCGCCAGCAAGAAGATTCTCAAGTGCCCCAAATGTGACAAGACCTTTGATCGAGCAGGTGGGAATGGTGACATTTTTGGAGCTTCAACTTTCAACTTCAAAATAAAAGCGAGACAATACTGCATGGACAGCAATGCCTCGCCAAACTTTTATTTTGAAGATGCTCTTCGGAAGCAATCTTTATCGCGACTGACCTGACTTCAAATTGAGGCTGGCCCGACCTACTCGTAGTGTGCAAAATCCCGATGGCCGACTTGAATTGGAGTTCAATTTCAGGTGCTTGTGCGCACCCGCGTGCTGCTACGGTTGTGTTTTGCAGGTTGAACAACTGAGCTCGGACCAACCAACGAGAGAACAGAAAAATGTGTTGTTGGCCAGCAAACTAAAATTGAAATCCGATTAGTTTTTTCTCCAACAAATTTCAACACCTGAATGAACACCCGCAGAGCCTGGTGATTTCATTGTTTTTGTCGGGGTTTCCAGTTGAAGTTACATGGGCTAGCAATTTGGTAGCCACTAGGCGGATTACATTCCTGTGGCAACACAAAGAGCCGGAAATCTAGTTGGACCAAAAAAATATTTAATATGCACGTACTGGAAGCAGTCCAACCAAGAGAAATGCTACCAAATGGGGAGAATAGACTGTTGGAAATTGATAGAATCTAATAGAACAAATACGAGACTGGGCAATGCTACCAAATGGGGAGAATAGACTGTTGGAAATAAGTTGATACAATCGAATAGAACAAATACGAGACTGGGTTGTCAATGGAGATCACAGCTTCTGATAGTTTTTAGGCCAGCGGGCACTGCTGTATAGCAGTTTCTCCAAATTATTGATTTTAACGATTGTATTTTCCAACTCCCCGAACTGGTGATTCCCGTGTCGACCAGGGAAGTACGAGAGTCACACCAGAGTGCACACCAAAGAGAAACCCTTCCAGTGTGACGTCTGCCTGCAGCGCTACTCCACCAAGTCCAACTTGACAGTTCACAAGAAGAAGCACGCCAGCGACGCGCCCTTCCAGATGAAAGAGCACAAGTGTCCCTTCTGTAACAAACTCCACGCTAGCACAAAAACCCTGGCCAAGCACGTCCGGAGGTGAGACGAGGTTGCCTCCAAGTTTCTTGACATTTTCAAGAGCAATTTTCAAAACTTTTGATCTGGATTTACAAACTGTTTACAGTAACCCCTCGCTATTGCACAATCATGGCCCCGTGTTGCATCAACAACTGTCCAGCCGTTCATTTGTTCAACCGCAAGAAAGGTGTTGGTCTCCTCTGTCCCACTAGGTTCCACCCAGAACACCTCCAAGAGTTTCTCAGTAAGAGGAAGAAGAAGAGTGAAGGCTGGAAATGTCCTGTGAGAGCTGCTCTACTTGGTTTATTATTATTATTATTTTTTTTTTAATCACCCTAACTTGATCAGGCACCGCTATCGAGAAAGAAGCTCGTGCATTTCATGAAAGCAAATGACTTGAATCCGTTTCTCTTCTCTTGCCCATCCAGATTTGTCTGAAGTCTTTTACCCGCAGGACTCACTTGCAGGAGCATATGATACTGCACACCCAAGAGCGGCCGTTCAAATGCGCTTTTTGCGACGAATACTTCAGGTCCAGGTTTGCCAGGCTTAAGCACCAAGAAAAGTACCACCTGGGTGAGCAAGTGTGATTCCCTTTCTTCGGAAAAATTGCTTGTTCAACCTGACGAACTGAGAAATGAGAGTTTTGACCTCTGTGTGACGGATTTTAAATAACGTGGACCCTCTAACGTCAGTTCAGTTGTTGGAGACGGAAATAATCCACTTTCTCGATCCGAAATCCACATTTAACCACACAGGCAATTTTAAGTATCATTTTAACATTCTCACTTGTCATACACATTAACCGGAAGCATCGTAATAAACCCCCGTTAGACGTTAAAAAAAAAAAAAAAAAAAAGTGACGTCCATTTTCTTAATGTAACAATTTTACAGTTATATCTTTAAAAAAAGTTTAATTCATCAAACTGAATTAATAATAAATAATGCAGTAACAAATGAGCGTGACTTTACTTTTAAAATATTAAAATCAACCATTTTACTTTTACTTATTGCGCTTGCACAAATATGCTTTCTGAAATAATTTGTACATGAATAATAAATAACAAACGCACGCATTTGTTGAAGGAGACTATCTTAAATAAGTACAAGTTAAAAAAAATAATTAAAGTATATATTTCAAAATATTTTATGAAATAGTTTATGTAAAAAATGATCATGATTTTTTTTTAAAATTAAAATTAACTTTTTTTTAATCTCTGTAAGACGTGGCCCATTTTTTTGTTTTCAACATCAATTTAAAAATAAGTACATACAGTATATACCGGTACATATTTTATTAAATAATTTGGTCTATTGATTGATTTATTGATAGTACAGTCGCAAATGAACCTCTTTTTATTTTTAAAATAAACACATTTATTATGATTTTTATATGATTATCAATTCTCAATACAATTTTAAATTAGCATTACTTGCTTTTCTCTGATTATTAAATGTAATGCTATGACACGCCTCCCCCCCTCCTCATCACCTCCGTGGCCTGTATTCCTTCAAAAACAAACAAACTTTGCATTTTCAGGACCTTTTCCTTGTGACATCTGTGGCCGAAATTTTAACGACACCGGCAACAGGAGGCGCCACATTGAATGCACCCACGGAGGGAAAAGAAAGTGGATGTGCTTTGTGTGTGGGAAATCAGTCAGGGAAAGGTGGGAAAGGATCTTCTTCACACAGTCTTGTCTGACCGTTCTTTGGAATGCTGTCCGTCACGACATTTTTTTTTTTCAATTGGCAGAACAACGCTGCGGGAGCACATGCGGATCCACAGCGGCGAGAAGCCTCATATCTGTGCTCTCTGTGGCCAAGGTTTCCGCCACAAGAGTTCATACAGGTTGGTCAGAGGAGATTCGAGTTCCATTTTTGACTTTGAACGTGGATTTTCTTGCAACCGTGTCATTTTTTATTTTTACAAACAGGCTCCACTTGCGAATGCACCGCAATGACAAGCGCTACGAGTGTGACGAATGTGGGAAGACCTTTATACGCCACGATCACCTAACCAAACATCAGAAAACGCACTCTGGTACGATCCCCTTCAAACGGCAAATATATTTCATCGTGACCCTCAAAACATTGCAAAATGGAGCTTGAAAGCTCATTTTGGGAAAATAATCAGATGAGTTGACATATCAGTGACTCGATTTATGAGTTTCTTCAGAGATGAGCCGTGAGACAATTAATTGTTTTGACTTCGGAGCAAAAATTGGAGATAGAGCCGGCCGTCGCGAACGACAAAAAAGTCATGCAGTTTGACATGGGCCATTCGTGAGCAGCGAATATGAGTATTGTGATATTGTCTGTCTACATGTGTTGCTGCACCGCTGCTCATGGGGTTATAACAACATTGTATTGATGCCAGCTTTATTGGCTCATCTTTGCCATTTTACATTGTGGGTTAGCATTGAGCTAGCGGACTTGAAAGCAAAGTGACATGGTTGTTTGAAATACATAACGTAAAATTCACTTAATTTTGAGCTCAGTTTGCTTTTCTTGCAAATTATAGCTTGCGAGCGATAGAAATGGATCGGCCGAGCGATGGCTCAGATCGCTCGTGTCTCGAGGCACCGCGGCATGCATGTCACTATTTCTCGCACACCTGCTTTTATTTCAGAGGAAAAAGCACATCAGTGTGAAGAATGCGGCAAGTGTTTCCGGCGCCAGGATCACCTGGCAGTCCACTACCGAAGTGTTCATTTGGGAGAGAAAGTGTGGCAGAAGTATAAACCGGCCACGCATCAATGTGACGTTTGCAAGAAAGAATTCAAGGGAAAGTCCAGTCTGGAAATGCACTTCAGGACGCACTCAGGTCATTGCTTAATTGTATTACCTAACAATTATCATTGTGTGTAAATTAGGCTCGCCATATTTTGGTTCCCATCCCCCCAAAAAAGAGGACGCTCACCCTGGCCTCGAGATACTGAAATGATACTCAACCCTACGCACTCCAGTATTTTGATTTTGTAATTTGATTTTCCTGCAAAAGGTGAGAAACCCTTCACTTGTCCAGAGTGCCACCAGACGTTTCGGATCAAGAAGACCTTGACGAAGCACATGGTGATCCACTCGGACGTCCGTCCTTTCAACTGCCAACAGTGCAACGCCGCCTTCAAGAGAAAAGACAAGCTCAAGTATCACGTGGACCACGTCCACAGCAGCCGCTACCTCGAGCAGCCGCTCGGGGGAACCCCGGCCCAGGACAAGATGGGCCCCGATCCTTTTAGTACCCAACCCAAGTCGACACCTATGGACATCCGCGCGCCCGGCGCTTTAGACCCTGTCCAGATGGCGGTTAGACCCGGGCAGGGCCAATTGGACGCTCATCCGGGCATGCGAGCTGAAGAACCGCAGCCGAATTCAGGTTACCAGAACTCCGAGCTGGCCTTTTTAGAGAAATACGCCCTGGCGCCTCAGTCGGCCGACATTGTTCCCCCCGTGAGGTCCGATCAGATGCTCGACACCCGAGAGCAGGCTTACCTGGGAACACTACTTGGTTTGGATTCCACGTCCTCTGTGGAGAACATCTCAAACGCGAACCAAAGTCACCGCTGAGACCTTCAGGGACAGTGTTGCTAAAGTAAAGCGAAACAGAGTCACTCGATGTACAGCAACTACTAATGACAGTGGTACCTTGGGCTAAGAGCGTTTATTCTACTCATTGCAATTACGAGTGACCTGCAGACATGCTTGAGTGAAGTGAGGGGGGGAAAAAAAGGCAGCGCATCAGTTGCGAGTGCACTAAAAATGCCGAGGTCATCGAGGGACAGCTCACTGGCCCTGTGAGGACACATTTGAAATCTGATTGGTTCACAAAACAGTCCCACAAAACATACGGTGGTACCTTCACCTATGACTTTGATTATTTTGTATTATATTCCGCTGTTTAGTGCTCCTTTTCTTAACGATGTATTGTATTGTATAATGTAACCCTTTAAGCGCCAACGTAGCAAAATTGAACCAAGTGACCAACTTAACAGGATGCGTTCATCTCAAACATTTTCAAGCTACAACCTTTTGAACTAGTTTCGTCAAATCAGAATATTTTATTTTAAAAAACTCTGGTGCGTCAAGTGGTTACGTCACCGGAAAAATTGTGTTTGGGAAGGTGATAGAATAAAAAAGGTCACGCACTTCTGGTTACTTGTTGAGAACAATGAAGGAGTTCCTCTTCAAAATCTGCAACAGTGGTGACGCTTTCGAATACGTTGTTTTGAATGAATAAATAAGTTGTGAATCCTCTGATGTATGTTGAGCATTCTCAGTCACCAAAATATGATCCCCACTTTTTGTTCCCCCTTCTGCTCCTTCCACATTTTTGAAGCGATTCAAACCATTGCAGCTTCGAGTCTCGCATGCTGGATTTGCTGGATTGCATTTCCATCCATGGCGCTTCAGCTCAGTGTCGGTTCATCAGCATCGACGTGCAATTTCTCCTGAAAGTGCGACTTGCCTCATACTCGGGCTTTGGGCTTTATGAGTAATGGATGATTGCTCAAATCACAGAAGCACCACAAAACGATCATTGCTTTCGGTTCAAGATTTTATTGACCACGGTCCATCAAACATTACATTGTGTGTTTTGGTTTGTTTGTTTTTCATGTGAGTGGCAAGCAAGTAGACAAAGTAATTCATCAAGCTCTCAGTGAAGATCCAAAAGTAGATTTGGGACCACAAGCCAACCATCAGAGCTGTGACGAGATGCATCTTCGATCTAGACCTCTTAGCATGAATTCTGATGGCAAAGACATAGGATTTAAATCAGTCCGAATAATAGACCAAAAACTATACTCCGTAAATGAATAAAGTGTGACTTACAAACTTCAGTTCCCACCAATTACAACCTGAAACAATCATAGAAGCTCGTGAATACCTCAAGTATTGGTCAGGGTCACGCGTTCTTCTCGCGAAGCAATTGGTTACCGTAGTCTGGTGCATGTTCGTGAATTTCTAGCAATTCAATTCCAAATCATACTCACATTTGCCCAACTGTATTCTTCCATTGTTGCACCGCCCCACCGAATAATGATCCGTCAGCCAGTGGTCCAGTTTGACGCATTCCAGTCTCACACTCTCCCCATCATTGATGTATTTCACTCCGTCGTATTTTAACTGGGGGTATTGATCGGTGTCCACGGAACAGTAGGAAGCTGCGCACGAGAAGCAACAAATAAGTTCACCAAATTCCCCTGGTAACAGTCAGTTGTTTCCTTGGGCTTTTATCTCTTTATTTATTTATTTATTTATTTGAACCTTTGCAGGTGGGCAGCGTGGACCACTGGCCGTTAGTGTAGCAGAACACTTTATCCGGACCCACTTGTTTGTAGAAACTGCCGCACTGATATTTCAAAAACATCGGATCCCGTTCCACAACCTCACCATCGGCGACAATGGGATTCGTTCCACACTGGTCAACTGAAATAATAAAATGCACTCAAGATATCCAACGTTGAGCATCTATGATGATGAAACCATTGGGGGAAACGAACGAATAGCTACTTGTGGTCACTTGTGGATCCGGAGAGCCGGTGTTGGTTGAAGATCCTGCGAGATATAATGAACACATCGTGAGTAATGCATTTTATTGTAATTGTTTTTGTCATCTTTGTCTCGATTAGATTCTGGGCACGCTTGCTACAGTCAACACGAGATAGTTTATGAAACCCGTTCGCAAAATACATTGGGGCACCATCAGTTTTGTCCAGGTAAGTTTCATTGTTCTTTTAGACCCGAAAAAGCAGTATTAACTTTCCTCTGTTTCAAATCATTTCAGTGACTAAATTGTGAGCGTATATGTGTGTGTTTTTCTTAAATCGAATGGCACCACAAATGTTGTTTGTCCATGTCCATACCTCCTCCACCTGCAGGCCCCGTCTCACTGCCAGTAGACGTTGAACTACCAGGAGTTGGCTTTGTTTGTTTGACTGTGGAAAAATGTCAATCAATAAATAGAAATCTCTCAATTTCAGCAAAGATTCGCACAATTACGGCCCTAAAACCCACATGACGAATCTCCTTCATTTTACTCACTGCAGGGCGGGGCGGCCGACCACGCACCACTGATGCAATAAATGGACTTTTTGTGTTTTCCTTCGACATCATAGCCATCTTCACATTCGTACAGTATTTCAGTATCAGAAGCATACACGTCCCGGCGAGGGCCCTGATTGATGATGACGGCGTGGGGAATTTTAGGGGGGTCATCACATGCCTGGGTGCTTCCTGTGAAAACGAGCCCAATAAAGGTGATGTACAGAATATGAAAAGATATGAAGAAAAAAATCGCACCGACTTACGCTGGCAGATCGGTACAGAGAGCCATTTTCCATTGACACACTGAGTTGTAGCGTCCCAGTCTTTGGATGAATAGCCGGGGTCACATGTTATCCTTATGACGTAGCCGTCCTCATACCAACCCGTCTGGCTTGACGTGTATTTTGCATGGGGAATAGTTGGCGGAATGCAGTTGTTGACACCTGGAGAACAAAAATTGAAAAAAAATAGCGCATTTAGACATTAAAGAAAACATTTTAAGCAGTTTATAATGCCTCCTGTATATCTTATGTTTTGTTTAGCTTTAATTAACTGTACTTGCGAAACCTACTTAGACAGTCGCAAATTGCAACAAAACGTTTGGGGCTTCAATTGTCCCAAATGTCTGGTGAAGAATAAGCCGCTAAATATTCTGCTCATCTGCATCATTTTTAGAAAAAGAAAAAAGTTTTAATTTTACAAGAAGTCATATTTTTCCAAGAAAAAAAAGTTGTCCAACAAGAACAATAGAGACACGAAATGCATTTTTTTGTATTGCTACTGAACCAATTATTATGATTAGAATTAATTTTCACATTTTAAACAGAATATTTGACACATTTTACTTCCACATTTTAATTTTGTTAAAGCTAGAACCTGGCCTATCTGCCCCATTAAAAAAAAAATCAGCACATTATTTTCTCACCTCTGACATACCGTGAGTCCAACACTTACCGATACATTGCGGTTGAGTGGACCATTTGCCATTCTGGCATGTCGTCGTTGCCCACCAGCCCTCCACTGCTGGCTTGAATCCATTTTCACACGCGTAGGGCAACACAGTTCCATGTGAATATGTATCTTGCTGAGGAACAACATAACCTCCATTTACAATGGGCGCACGACAAGAGGGACTCGCTGAAATACATCGATGGGCTCCAGAAAGCCAAATCATAAAAATCCATCCAATATACTTCTTGAACATTCCCAGCAGCATTCTGATTAAAATAATATATTTGGAGTAGGTAAATCTAATGTTGTGAGTCTGGTTGTGGTCAGCAGTCAGTAAATACTTGCAACTGTGACCTTCCCCATATCAGCTTGGAGATGAGGAAATAGCAAACATTACTGAGTTAAAGCGTCATCAAAAAAAAAGCATTACTCACAAGTCAAAACATAAATGTACAAACGGGCTCGGTACTTGAGTCACGGCTACCGTAAATGTGAAATTTCCAACAAATGGTGACGCATGTACGTTTGTAAAGAAAGGGTTTATTGGAGAAAGAGACCCATGGTGTCTGCAAAATGCGTGCCCCAAAATAAAAAAAATCAATGATTGTGTCCAGAGGACATATTTCGAAACAGCTTCCCAGTCCGCTCTGATTCGGCAAGAGAACAAAAGTTGAGTACATCCCTTTGCATTTTGGTCATTATGTGATTTATGGTTTTCTGGAGAAATACGCTCTGATTCGGCAAGAGAACAAAAGTTGAGTACACATTTTGGTCATGATGTGATTTATGGTTTTCTGGAGAAATGACATTTGTTATAATGTCAAGTGTACAGCGTGTACCAAAGTGTAAATCGATTGTCCCCTCAAAATACACTAACACAAGGCCATTAATGTCACAAGCAAGAAAAGTGATTACACCACTCAGGTTGTTCTATTTTTGCAACACTGGAGAAATTATACTTTTCTCCATTGTTAAGTTGTCATACTTGTAAAACCAATGAAAATTGACTTTGCCCTCAAAACAACCCAACACCTTGTTGATGTTCCTGGCAACAAAAGTGAGTACACCACGCAGTGAAAATGTCCAAATTGTGACAGAGTATCACCATTTAGGAACGCAGTTCTACACTACGTACGTATATTGCCATTCATTCGAAATTAGAAGTTGATGTATGCGCTGCCAAGAATCGGCTTGGCTCATGGAAAAGTGAAAATGTCCAAATTGTGACAGAGTATCACCATTAAGGAACGCAGTTCTAAACTACGTATATTGCCATTCATTAGAAATTAGAAGTTGATGTATGCGCTGGCAAAAATCTGCTTGGCTCATGGAAAGTTGAAAGCCTGAAACGCAAGAATTGCTTTTTGGTCTCTTTCTCGTTCCGTTGTTCAAGTGAGTCCCTCGCTCAAAGTGCAGTACTTTTTTTTTTTCTGGGCAGAAAAGGTGTTCAAAAAAGTCTTAGGTTTCAAACTTTTCGGCCACTGGGTGAGTTCAGAAATGTGCCTGATGAAAAACTGTCATTTAAAACTATTCAAACTATTTGGAGCATCTAATTTGTTACTGTCGCTGCTGTACCGAATGCTTCCTTTTGTCCGGACGCACTCATTTCATGCATATACCGCGTACGAATATATAATATGGGTCTTCTCGACATATTCTGCTCAAATGTCGACCCTGGCGGTTGAATCGGGTTTTGAATCTATTTTGCCGGGCCACCAGGCGCTGTCCTCCCTCATGGCTGAAGTCTTCTATGTCGGAGTCGACGTGGGCACTGCCAGTGTGAGGGCTGCTTTAGTGACCAAGGAAGGTCATTTGAAAACCGCTGCCCAGGAGCCCGTCAGCATCTGGGAACCTCACAGTGACCATTATGTGCAGTCTTCCTCTGAGATCTGGGACAAATGCTGCGCTGTTGTCAGGGTAGGAGCGAGCTCCACGAGGAAGACGAAGCAGGAGATGCGAAATAGCGCCCCCTAGATAAACAATCGCCGAGGAAAACTGTCGTGAGATACAATGACGTACTGTACTATTATTTCACGATGCACACGGGGACGAGAACAAGAGTGCCAAAAATGAAATAAATAACTTGTGAAATAATGAGATATCCAAATAAATAAATCGATTTTGAATTTCGATCAATAATTTGAAATGAATCAACGTTGAAAATAAATAGTCTTCCTGACACATGTATTTATTTATTTATTTATTTATTTAAATTGGACACTCTTGATCGTCCGTCCAAATGACATTGTCTTTGTAGAAATGTGTGGGCTTTTTTGTTTTTCGATGTGTTTCAGGAAGTGACACGAGGAGTGAACAAAAAGCAGGTGAGAGGGATCGGTTTTGATGCTACCTGTTCCCTTGTAGTGTTGGACCAAAGCTTTCAGCCCATAGCAGTCAATCGGGACGGTAAAGTCGTCTTTTTGCCCCAATGACTTTCAACATGTTACCCGACGAATGTACGTCATCACGTCTCAAAACTATAACCACCACCATGACAGCCTTTCGTCCTTATCCAGGAAACAATCGGAGAAATGTGGTGATGTGGATGGACCATCGTGCTGCTGAGCAGGCTGCTCGTATCACAAGCACCGGCCACAGCGTGCTGAGTCGCGTTGGAGGGGTTATGTCACCAGAGATGCAACCACCTAAGCTACTCTGGCTCAAAGAGGTGAGAGGTGAGCTTGGTGTAATGATTTAGTCGATGTTTTATGGGTTTTTTTTTGTCCTTCCCATTCCCTATGTGAGCATTTTTTTTCTTGGTGCAAAGATTCTTTCATGTTTGCAGTTTTTACATTTTTGTGTGTGCTTTGTGGGGTTTGAACAATATATATATATATTTTTTCCCCCACTCCTGCAGAACCTAAAGGAAAGCTGCTGGAACAAAGCTTCCCACTTTTTTGACCTTCCAGACTTTCTTTCATGGAAGGCCACCGGCTCATTGACCAGGTTTGTCACACCACAATAATAATTTGTATCTTCTACAAAGATATATTTATTATAGAACCGAATTATATTATTAAGCCTTTTATCTCGGCTTGTTGGAAAACATGCAGCTGCTCGTGCTACTTTCTTCCCTGTTTGACAGATCCCTTTGCACTCTGGTATGTAAATGGACGTATTGCCCCCCAAAGGGATGGGATGCCAGTTTTTGGACTTCAATAGGCCTGGAGGATCTCACTGAAAACAACTTTTCCAAAATAGGTCACTTAAAAAAAAGTATAATATGAAACAGAATGAGTTTATTTGAATAGAGTTTGATTAATTGTGGAATTATTCACTGTTTGTCTTCCAGGCAACGTGACGTGTTCACCTGGGAGTCCTCTTGGGGACGGCCTGACTCTCGAGGCAGCAGCTGATTTGGGTTTGGATCCAGGAACGGCGGTGGGGGCTTCGCTCATCGATGCTCACGCCGGAGGCCTCGGTACCGCATGCGGAACATGTTTTCTCGTTGTTGTCTCTTGTCGCAGTCTCTTCACCTCTTTGTCCCCGAGTGGGCGCGTAAAAGAAAACCCTTTTGCATCAGCCAATGCTAATAGAGTAGCGGTTCCTTTTTAATACAGAAGGGCCGTGTGTCTTTTGCTGTGTTTCTCCAGGTGTGATCGGAGCAGACGTGAAAGGCTTCCAGCTGCCATGTGAGGGCCAGCCAATCACAACACGGATGGCCATGATCTGTGGGACGTCGTCTTGTCACATGGCAGTGAGTGTTCCCCTCTTATCTTTCGTGTATTGCTTTTTTTTTTTTTGGAATCAGGGATATTTTATTTTATTTTATTTTTTTTATGATGTACTTATTTATCGCAATGCCCTCGCACGTGGGAAAGGAAAGCCAAAAACAGTGCCAAATACACTTTATCACCATTTTTAGAACCCAAGCAGAGCACTGAAACGCTTGAACACACGCGTGCAGGGGTTGCTGTTGGCTCTGGCCGTCACTGTCGAATATCTCTGCAATTGATTATTCTATCGTTTATTCCATCGATCACATGAATAATCTGATACAGTTTTAGTTTGCATTAATGTTTGTTACAAAACCATGTTTTTGTTTTTGTTTTTTTTTCCCCAGTATAATTCCGAAAATGAGAAAATGCAACTTGAAAGAAATCTTCTTCCACTGCATGGCCAGTGTTTTGTCGACGTGAATGCATGTTTTTTTTAGTCACGGGTTGTATTTAGTCAACAGTGATTGACTTCAACTCTCACCAGATCAGTGAGCAGCCGCTGTTTGTGCCGGGGGTGTGGGGTCCCTGCCTGTCCGCCATGGTCCCCGACGTGTGGCTTAACGAGGGAGGACAGAGTGTCACGGGACGTCTGGTCAGTGCATTCTGCCGCCGTGGCCCTTGCATGCACCAGTGCGTCCACAAGCCCAGATATTCATCGCCAGTCGAGCCCAACTGAGAAATTCCGCTGCAATGTATTCTCTCAAACAAAAAAGAGGTTATTAGACTAGGTGAAGCGCAATTTTTCCACTTCCGTCTTTATTCATATCGCGATTTCACAATAGTTGCAGCTGTAGCATAGCACTTTACAGAACATTGAGCATAAAATAAACATTTTAATGTCATTTTTTTTTTTTTTTTATCGCTGGTAGCATTTTATTTTACAAAAGGCATACATAGCTAGTCCGTACAATGTCATCTTGTTTAAAATAAAAGTCCCCTTTTCAGAACAGATTGTAAAGTCGTGTCAAATTACACGTTGCCCAAGCCAAGAAAAAAATGTCAATCTCTCCAGGGTACAAAAGATATTAGAAAATGCATAACTGTAGTCCAATGTAATGTCCACTCACAAGCCGCAGTGTTAGACACCGTCTGAAAATGACTCTTTTGTTCCTGCGACATTGCCCACACGTGACCTTTCTGTGTCACGGTGTCTCTCCTCTTCCAGATCGACCACATGGTGAAGGGTCATGCCGCTTACGCGCAGCTCCAGGAAAAGGCGCTGCAGAGGTTAGTTGGCGCATTCGGCATTTGGAGCTTCCCAAACCCTGGAACACAGCTATCACCCTCCATTAGCCGACACATAATGACATGATAATTGAGTAAGATTAGGTTTGGTAAGATGGTTGCGTATGACTGACAAGGTTGCCATGGCTGGCTATTCTGTGGCGATGAGTCACCGTGACTGATGAGACGAATGCTAATGAGGCTGCATTCATCCATTCATTTTCTGTGACTCCTCGTTGTGGGTTACTTGGAGCCTATCCTAGCTGATAGTGTTGTGGTCACGAACACACCAACCGAGACCAAGACTTTATTGAGACATTACCGAGACTTTTGAAGGTTGAGACCGAGCCCATTCACATACATATTCACACCTATGGACAATCAATTATGTCAAGATACAATATTCCCCCATTTGACTCATTTCATAAAATGATCCCAGATGAATTTTTACGGACGTTTTTTTTTCTTTCTTTTTTTTCTTGCTCGTCATAGCGCGGGCGACGATTTCTACAGCTACCTGAACAGCCACCTACATCGAATGTCTTCTTCGTGTTCGGCTGTTGACTTGCTGGGCTCAAGTCTTCATGTGTGGCCAGATTTTCACGGGAACAGGTCGCCGCTGGCTGACCCCGCCCTGAAGGGCATGGTGAGTCAAAGCTAACTCTCGGGGCTAAACCTTTATGTCTGTGGACACTGCGGCACTTGCTGTAAATATTGTGATATATCACATTTGAAAACACGCTTCCTGGGTATCCTGATGTGACATGCTTTGAGGGAAAAAAAAAAACAAGAATCAAGAATAAATGATACACCCCCCTACTTTTGCCTCGCTGAAATTAGCTCATGCTAGTGATCGACCAGTACACATTTCAATTCCCATGACGACGATGGGTGGAGCTAGGAGCAGCGACTAAGCACATGCATGCTAGCGACCACAAAGACGGGATGGATTGGATTTCCCCCTCTGCCGTCCGATCTTAATCACCAAGCTGCTGAATTAAAGTTGTCAATTAATTTGCCGCTCCGTATGTGGCACGTGCATCGAACACAACGCCAAACAGAATTCTTACCATAAACTATTTTACAGGTCGTGGGACTGTCTCTTTCTCAAACTCTGGACGACTTAGCTTTGCTCTACTTGGCCACCATACAAGCCCTGGCGGTCAGTCCACCGCTTTTTATTTTTATTTTATTTTATTGTTTTTGTATTTGCTTCCCTGCTTCCCTCATTGGATCCTCCTCCGATTTCAGCTCGGTACACGACATATATTGGAGGCCATGAAAGAAGCCGGCCATGACATCAAAACCATCTTCTTATGCGGAGGATTGAGCAAGAACAGCCTGTTTGTGCAGACTCATGCCAATGCAACAGGTACAAAGTACAAACGGGAGAGACCATGACGTGCGCCATTGATTGTTTGAATCATCGAAGAGGGCAACTTGCTCAAAATGAACACTTGTGAAGGGAGGATTCAAACAAAAGTTGCCGTCTTCGATGCAAGTGTAAATACCTCGAAAATAAAAGCCGACATCGTGATCTCTTGTCTCATTTTCATCTTTTGATGTTGAACCTGAATTTTCTTTAGCCTACAGCAAATATTAAAGACTTGGCCTCACTTCCAGTTCTTTTGGGAGGGACGGGGGTGTGGTCTACATGATACGTTCGTTTTATGTTCCTATTTGTTGATCCAAATGCTGTTGAGGAACCAATTTGCTCACTTTCAGGGTTGCCGGTGGTGTTGCCTGAACAGACCGAGGCTGTCTTGGTGGGAGCGGCGGTTCTTGGGGCGTGTGCATCGCACGATCATGGCACTATACAGGTGCAAAAGACACACACACACACACACACACGAACCACTGGACCACCGGGCCGCCCTGGTATAACACACTGTATTATTTCACTTATTTTCACAGAAGAGAGTCAATATTTCCCCATAGCGCCCTTAAGATTCAAGATGCTGAATAACCTTTTCTGTGATGTCCCGGCATCAGATCTCATGACACCAGAGAATGATGAGCCTTTAAGCCAGATACACTAAAAATAAGACGTTATTGTTTGGACTAGGCCGCACCTGTACAAGACCCCCTGCCTCCCTTTTCAAAGATTTGTGCAGCAGGCAGTTGTTGTGTGTGAGCCACCGGAGTGTGCAGCGTTAGAGTGCAGAGAAGCCATGCATTGTATAAGTCATGCGCTGAGCCGTACTAAAAAGCAGCGTAGCCCAATTCTTTCTACAACTGGGTCATGGTTGGCCTTGAAAGTGCACGACATGTTTTTCTTTTTTTTTTTTTTAATGGTTATTTTCCATTCTCATCACTACTCTAGGAGGCGATGGCGAAAATGGCGAAAGTGGGAAAAGTAGTTGAGCCCGACCACAGTCTTCAAAGGTAAGATGAAACGTTGACGTCATAATTCTCGTCCTTATTAGCTCTTATTTATCGTCCGTTTGACATCCGTGTCCCATAAGTGATCCAACAGCAATGCAATGACTTCAACCATCAAACACCGGATAAATCTAACCTCTTTTGCAGATTTTACCAAAGAAAGTATCAAGTGTTCCGGTCCCTTGTTGCCCACCAGAGGGAGTACCAAGCCCTCATGAACACTTGAGGGACTGAGTGTTCTTCACTGAAAACTGTGAGCAGATGCGCTTGCTTCCAGGGATTTGGGACCCCCTTGAAAAAAAAATCACTTATGACCACTTCCACAGCAAGTCTGCAAATTGAAAAGAGTCTTTTGTGGGGGGGTCCCTGTCAGTCATCGTCACCCCCGCCCTGTTACATGACTAGCAGTGATGTAATACATTGGAAACAATGGCATGTCTCCTCTGCTTTTCAGCCTATTATGATTTCCTAATAAAGGTGAGTTCATCACTTTGCCTGCAAGTTCAGGTCGCTGCTGTCCCCTAGTGTTAATTCATCAAACTGCATGTGATTGTTTTTTTTTTTTTTTTAAATGACCGCAGTGGAAAGGCCTAATGAAATCGATACGATATTCGCTGTCGTTACAAAAAAGGTATCCCATTGATACGTACTTTATATATATATATATATATATATATATATATATATATATAAATAAAATGTGTGTGTGCGTGTATATGTTTATGTATGTGTGTGATACTGCCTTTGGCTCGTCCGGTCGGTGTGTTGCGGCGGTGTGCAGCCGTGCCGCATGACTTCCAAGTCCGGCCAGTAGCACGGATGTAAACAGGGGGCGGGCTCAGGTAGGCCTAACCTGCACCCGCTCAGCCAATCACAAGCCGCCGTCCCTTGCCTGCGCTCCCATCTCGCCGTTTCTCATTGGCTTAGCGGCGCGTCGATATACTGCATCGAGGCCATCCAGTGCGATTTCAGGCAGAGAGAGGGAGAGAGAAGGGTAAAATGATTAATCTGTCAACGGTGAATTTGTGCTCGGAATGAGAGACATCCGGCCCAGAGCGTGACGTAGCACAGCCCGGAGAGCATCATTAACGCGCAGGAAGCGCACATCGAACCGCCGTAGTGCCGCCATAGCAGGTGGCGCCTTTCGTGTAATGGTGCAGGCTCGCAGCGTCTTCGCCGCCTGATCCGAGCGTCCTTTCAGCACTGGACAGCGATCGGGACCACCGCACGACGGCGACGCCGCGGAGGTCCTGAGGCGAGGTAGGCTGACACGCTGCGGTCACTTATAACGCCCTGATGACAACGCCGGTGTTTTACGAGGTGTGTATAAAGATGATGGTGCTTCACCTGGCGTTTGTGGGCCATTTGGCCTTGGAGAATGCATGTGCTTGATGAATTTAAAGCTAGAGCGCGTCATCCACCAAATGCCCTTGAATCGATAGGCCTCTAGTTATGCGTGAGTGAGCGTGTGTATGTGTGTAGGAGAGAGGGGGGGGGCGGTGTTGGTGTTGATGATAAGCAACTGCGCAATTGTCTTTCCCTGTCTGTTCATATCTTTCTTTTCTACGCCTCTCTCTTTCTTGCAGTCCTCCCTTCTTCCATAGTCAGTCCGACCCTCTCTTGGCTCGGGGCAATACGTGTCTCGATGACTTCACTACATCACCAAGCTCCGCGGTATCCTGGACTAATATAGCAACGCCACATCCCCTCCTCCATCTCTTTCTTTCTATCTCCCCCGTCTGTCCGAGCTATTTGTCTCTCTCTTGCTCTCTGGCTCTCTCGCTCTCTCTTTCTCTCTCCAATCGCTGATCCCTCCGTCCAAAGGCACCATGGGAAACCGTGGCATGGAGGAGCTGATCCCGCTGGTCAACAAGCTGCAGGATGCATTCAGCTCCATCGGCCAGGCGTGCAACCTGGACCTGCCGCAAATCGCGGTGGTGGGCGGCCAGAGTGCAGGAAAAAGCTCCGTGCTGGAGAACTTTGTGGGCAGGTAAAATTGACCACAGCAAATAGGATAATCCCTTAACCTTGTGACATAAGTAGCCTATGGGGGCCAATCGCTAGTGGCCTGCAGAGTACAAAGCATTCGCAGTCACCGTGCTAAGAGACTTCCAGGTTTAAATTGTGTCCACCGCACAAACCACGACACAGCCCGTCTTGTGACTACTCGAGCGTAGCTGGATTTAGGTTGCAGCGGCACCTTTGGGATCTCAGCCCAATCGGCAACTACAGCCAGCCGTTTGCACTCATTAGAGAAAGATGATGCCTGACATTTTCTGGCATTATATTGTACATGCATGGCTGCCTATTCCACCCCCCCATTCGCTAATATTCATGATTTTAACATCATGTGTGCTGGTAAAGAAGAAACTAGTCCAGGGTTGCCTAAAAGTGAGCTTGGATGGGCTCCAGTTCATTGTGAACGGGACAAGTTGTGCAGCGAATGTATGGATCGCGTTGTTGCTGGCGTAACTGCACACATTAGGTACTGATACACTGTCTAGTAGTACGCCTGAAGGTCTTCGAGGGAGCGAAGAGTTTAGGTCGGACATGCAAGAGTGCACAATCCAGATGGAGGAATATTGTCTCGTTCTTGTTGAGTTGATGCCGAGCAACAGTCCATCTGTGCCGAAGGCAATGTGAAGGCCTTTGAATGGATGACAAGTGTTGCTTTTCTTTAAACTCTTCCGACTTGTGGCGTTGGCCAGTCCTGCTGAGCAAGCTGAAAATTGTGCCCGTGTGTGTGTGTTTTTTAAAAATAATTCTGTTATCCAGGTTATGAGAATCTGCAAAAGCTGAATTGGGGGCAGCTCTACTCCTGTTTGTTGAAATTGTTGTGGTTTGTGAAAACTGACTTGGGTAATGATGTAATTCGGCGAGCAAAATATGCTTTTTCAGTACAGTACGGACATTTTTCAGAGGAGCAACCGTCCTTATGGCTTTGTGGAATTATGTCCACCAACACACATTTAAGCCCCCCCCCAAAAACTCATTTTAAAATGAGTGCTTCATTTTCAATTCAGGTTGCCCTGCTTTTTCCAGCTGGAAATTCCGGGCTGTAAAAATGGCCAGCATTCTATCCAGCGTTTGAGCTAATGAAACCATAAATAGCAAGAAATCCAGGCGTACAATCTGAAGATGTTTAGCGTTGACTCGAGTGATGCATTGTGATTGGCTGTTTGTCCACAGGGACTTTCTGCCCCGCGGATCTGGCATTGTCACTCGCAGGCCGCTGGTTCTGCAGCTTATCAGCGCTACTGCAGGTGGGTTGGCCACGCATTTGTACACCCACACATGCTGCTGGCACACTCACAAATTGTCAAATGCGCCCCCCCCACACCCACACCCCCCTTGTCTTTTTTTTTTGTCATTTAAATTGAGCTTTTTTTTAAATTTTTTTTTTTTATTCCCTGCTCCCACTCCGGCGTTCTTTCCCTGTCACATGTTGCTCCATCACCACCGCTCTCTGTTGCACGTTCTCCGTTTTCACAGAATGGGCCGAATTCCTCCACTGCAAAGGGAAGAAGTTCACGGATTTCGATGAGGTCCGCCAGGAGATCGAAGCCGAGACGGACCGTGTCACCGGTGCCAACAAAGGCATATCTCCCGTGCCCATCAACTTACGCGTGTATTCCCCAAATGGTGCGAAACCACATTTTCCTTCCATTTTCAACACTTAAGTGACAACTCAAAATAGGCATCGAAATAGACTGCGATGTGGTGTGAGTCATCCCCCCTCCTGTTCTTTTTTTTTTTTTAATTCCTTGATCAAATACAGAGGGTTGTCATGCAGCCTTGATTACTCTCTTGTAGTCAAAAATGGAAGGATGGTGATACAAGAGGGCGTCAAGGTTTCTCTGCTGTTCTGTGTTCCATTTATTGCACTCAAGAGGATCGACTCAATGATGTACATCCGGTGCCGACGTGCATCTGAAGTCACAGTTCATTCAGAATGAAGCAGACAGTCATCATCAGTTAAAAAAAAAAAAGCAACAACAACTTTCAATGATAGATGCTGTATGTTTATGCTGTTGAAGGTTCGACTTTTTTTTTTTTTAAACGCTGATGTCTGTTGGACTTGAACAGGCCGAATTTGCATATTTCAATTTTGTGTGAACCGGTCACCGATTCACCTGAAAGACTTTCAGCAATTTCAGCATTTTGGAGTGCGGCCGTGGGAACATTTGGGACATTCCCAATACGCACCTACAAAAGTTTGGCTGAGAATTTTCCAGAAGCAAGCCAAATAATTAAGATTTGTGGATTTATGAAACTGAGATTTAGGGTTTGAATTTCATCTGTGGCCTTCCCGTGTGAGCTTTGCATATTGTTGATGTGCGAAAGTCAGCTGGGATAGGCTCCAGGTGACCCGCAACCCTCATCAGGAGAACAGTCAAGAACTGTATTCATCTGCCGCTTCCAATGAAGACATTTATTCCCATAACTCATGCGTTCCCAATAATCGTTCCAAATGTCTTTCCCTGTTCTCATTTCAATCAGGAGAACAGTCAAGAACTGTATTCATCTGCCGGTTCCAATGAAGACATTTATTCCTATAACTCAATGCGTTTCCAATAATCGTTCCAAATGTCTTTCCTTGTTCTCATTTCGTGTTCTCCCACCTGAACAGTGTTGAACTTGACCCTCATCGACTTGCCGGGGATCACCAAGGTACCGGTCGGAGACCAGCCCGCTGACATCGAGCAGCAAATCCGGGAGATGATCATGCAGTTCATCACCAGGGAAAGCTGCCTGATCTTGGCCGTCACTCCGGCCAACACCGACCTGGCCAACTCAGACGCCCTTAAACTGGCGAAGGACGTTGATCCTCAAGGTGAGGCAAGGGCGACTGCAGGAAGGAGGGCGGGGGAAGAAAAAGAGATTCAGCAACGCGTGGCGTGATCCTTAGCGAGACGGCCAATCTGTCTGCTGTCAGAAAACACCATTTGTGTTTGAACTTCCGCTTTGACCTCTCTAAATTTGGGCGCACCATTTATCAGTAGCGGTTGCTTGAGTTTCAATTCATTCTCAGAGAGCGGGGAGGGGAAGATGTGAAGATAATTGAAAGAGCCGCTAAAGGACAGAAGACGTTTGACGGGGACAAGGCAATAACTGCGGATGGGATGACGGAGTTAATTTGACCTCCAGACTGCGGGGAGGGAAACGAGAGAGGACGCGCGGGAGAATGAACTTGAAGGCAAACGGGAAGAGGACACGGACGAAGCAACGAGGCGGGGAGGAATGATTCATGGTGGTGAATGAGGACAGGAGGAACCATCTTGTATCGGGGTTATCGTTGTTTGGCATTTTTCATGATAGTATTTGCTTTTGACTTTTGCTTTTTCATTTCACTTAGTTTCTTCGGGCAGGTTTGTTTGATTTTATTAAGTTGTATGCTTTCGAAAATGCTTTGTTTTAGTTTTTTCAAACATATGTTGAGTGCAAGATTGAAAAAAAAGAAAAAGGTCACTAAGCATTGTGTAATGCAG